TCTGTATGACTTAGATTTTTAGAACGCACTGGGCGTTTGCTGCATAAAATTTCAGTCAGGTTTTCTCATTGATCTGAACAAAAGCAGCATATGGTCTGAATAAAAAGTGCACTCTCTGACAGGAGGTGGCGCTTTAGGAACAGCAGAAATACTTCAGTTACCATGGTTACCCCTGTACACAAAGCAGCACCTAACTTTGGTGCATCCCAAATTGCATACTTATGCAATATTCTATGATGTTTTGTAGCATAAATAATGCGAGCAGTGTGTTTACACTGAAAATTCTGAAATAACCGAAAAAATGAAGTGTGGAATGTTGGACACTTCATGAGAGAGGGGCTATCAGACTCCGATTATTAATGACAAAATAACCTTCATTAACCCTCATAATTCATACACTACATGGTTGAGTACATAGTGCATAAATACATAGTGTATAAGTGCATAGTGTATAGTGCGTCATTTAGGACACAGTTTTTCTGTTTCTGACACCGGCTTGTCACGGAGGTCAAAGGAAGTCAAACACTATCTTTTATTGGGATCAAAGCAGGAGATAAAAAAAGACAAACATTCCGGCTATCTGCCTTCATCAGTGTTTCTTGAAATAAAAGAAGTGTTAACTGAAATAAAATATATATATAAAAAAAACTTTAGCTAGTTATTTAAAACTGAAATAAAGTAACTGTATATACATTTAAAATAAAAAAAAACAAAAAACAAAAGACAAAACCAGCTAAACAATGAAATTGACATCAGAAAATATAAAAATAATTCAAAATATTAACAAAAACTATTATATTACCTCAATGATATTAAAATAGCATTGCTTTACAATAAGGTGTCAGTGTAAGATATGTACGTTGGGGGATGGACCCTCAAAATGCTAGGACCGTCCCTGGCCTCAAATACTTATATGAGCGGTGTGTTATTCGGCATTGCTAAATACGATGGTTGTTATCAGGGAATAACACACCTCGGAATGTCCAGCACACCTGTCTGTAATTATCAAGCAACCCTGAACACCTTGATTAGCTGGTTCAGGTGTGTTTGACTGGGGTTAGAGCTGAAATCTGCAGGATGGTAGCTCTCCAGGAGCAGGGTTGGACACCCCTGCCCTAGGCAATTGCCTGCTCTGCCTATAGCTAGCGCCGTATGGAAGCATATGGGTAGCAAAATGCATTTTGAAATGCAATATGCAAAATGGCAATGCAATATGTAAAATGGCAATGTATTTCTGTATTTAAATTTACATTTTACCATACATATGTGCAACATTAATTGCAAAATGAGGAGTGTGGTATTCAAGTGATATCGGAGCTCTAACCATTTCACTGTTTGCATCACTCTGTTTGCAGTATTTCCCACAGCGAGCGTCACGGCGGAAGCCCAAACCCGCTATAATTTTTATAAGGAATACTGTTATTATATTACAGAATGTAGCATTAAGAGTTTTTAGGTGAGAATGTACTTGTTTAGACTTCAAATATGTGGTTTGTTAATAACTATGAAGCGGCCGACAGTGATGCTTTATTTACAAACAAACAAGCAGTGAATGGAGGACGTGGTGTTCGGATTTGTTTTTGTTGTGTGTGTGGTGTTGTGTCGTGGGTTTCGTAATAGCAGAGATGAAATGTAAACACAATTTACGCGACTGAAAAAAACGTGAAAATCGGACTAAATCCCCTATGACAACTTGAAGTGTTATCATCGAGGCTGAAAAAAGAACACAACGCTGCAGACAACAGGTAAATGCCATTATCTCTGTTTTCCATGTTCGTGGAGTAAATATTTTTCATGGCTTTTTTAAAATGCCGGGTAGCCGGTGTTTCATGTGCGTTTGGCCAATCAGCGTACACTTACGTCACTGATAGCTTCTATAGAACTGCTTTAGACCCTACTCTGAAGTAGGAGCTAATTTAGTTCCCCCAAACGGAGTTCCTAGAACTAAATACAATGCAAACACGCCAAAAAGCGTGAACTTCCGCCAATAGTTCTAGGAAACTATGAAAAGGTTCCTCCGGTGCGAAAGCACCTTATTTCAGGTAGATTTTTGAAGTGTGGATCCACACACTCTAATGGCTAATATTACCCATGCATTGCACTTTGGCGAAGGATTTGGTTCAGAACTTTAAACACAAATAAAACGCATTAAAAAACTAAGGCTAAGCATTAGAAAATAAGGGCCTTATTTCAGGTAGATTTGTGAAGTAGCCTATGTATCCACACACTCTAATGGCTAATATTACCCATCACTGCGCTTTGGCGAAGGATTTGGTTCAGAACTACAAACACCTTAAAAAACTACAAACACTGGCCATTAACATTTAAATGAATCATTATGCAGAAAATATGAGGAGAGTTATCCGCATGAAAGACCCGCGGCTGCAGGGGCAGAGCCAGGGGGTGGCCGTGGCCACCACTGACGAAAGCTTGCATGGCCACCCGACTCAAAACTGCAGTTTTTGTCCCTTTTTTCTTGACAAGAAATGCATTTATTAAGATGCGGAACCACCGTATCTCTTTCATAGTTGCCAAGTCCGCGTATTATACGTGACTTTGGGCTTCTTTTTTTGTAAAGTTGCGTGAAAAAATCCGGGTTGCGGTTTTTTGGGTTTATTTTTAAAAATATGGTTGCTTGTTAGGGAAATCTGACAAGCAACTTCGTTTCTTTATTTATGTTCGCCGTATTGTCCAATGCATTGGTTGACACTCTGTCTGCTCACAGTTAATAGCCAACCAGTGCAATAATATAAGTGCTGCAGCTTAATTTGCCAAATTTGCAAAACCACCCCAGACTGGTTGCTGGCCCCTCCCTAGCCACCCAAAACATCCTGGCTCCGCCACAGCGCGGCTGGCAGATCAGCGTGCTATTTTTCTCTCCAATATGGTAGAATGTTAAATTAAATGAAAGTGGAGGGTGTTGACTGTGATAAGATGATTGACAGGTCAGTTTACAGTGACAGGGTGTGTGTAACAGGTGCAACAGAGCGTCCGTTAAAGACACAATTGTATGACGTGATAGGATGTCCCAAAACTTGCCTGCTCTTCTACTACACACTTCAAATGTATGTACTTTTTCTTCACAGTACATATTTTAAGGGTGTAGTATAAGTAGGCACATTGCGCAGCAAGATATTTGAATCCACTGCGGAAAGAAGGAGTTCTGCACAAAAAAGGTTTTTAGAGACACTCCGTTGTTGTTTCTCATGCATTTACACACTCGTGCAATCGAACTGTTGTATAAACGCAATATAACATTTGTAGCCGTGCTATATGGCTGTATATCGGCATGCGGCATTCTACTGCTTGTGTGATATTGCTCATTTATAAAATGGACATTATATATGAAATATAGGCAACAGGTTTAGGGTTACTCGCATGTAATTATGCATAATTTATTATTATAATAGTAAGTACATATAATATGTGTGTAACAAGGACACCTTAAAATAAAGTGTTACTGAAAAATATATATTTAAAACAAGGAAGGAGCATAATTTGTCAAGAATAAGAACAGTTTGAAATTGTGGTTCATTTTTTTAAGACTGAAAGAAGGGTTAATTCATTTTATTGTGAATGTAAATGGTCATACGTGTCTTAAAGCAACGTAGACTTTGAGCACCATGTTTGGTAGTGCATAATTAGAACTCTTTACATGCTCTTCATGTGTCATTAATGTGCTGACTATTTGTACACTTAAAACCCATTAGTATATTTGTTTTTACAGAAATGAATCAGTCCCATCTGGTTATTCCTGATCAATTTATCGTGCATGCATTTCATATCCATTATATGAAAATCTTCCATAGTTTGTTTGGGGCTGGTCAGTAAAATCTGTACAATAATATGACTAGCAGTTATCAGGCATGTTGGTCCTGTTTTTTTTAATGTTAGCATTATCTTCTGCAGGATGGTAGCAAATTACAGATAGTATTGAGTATGTTTACATATAAATAAAAAAAAAAAAACGGACTCCTAAAACAACCAGCTTATAATGAAAATATAAAGCATGTTTTAAAACAATAGTTCACCCTAAAATTCTTCTTTCATTTACTCACCCTCATGTCGTTTCCAACCTGTATGACCTTCTGTTTTCTGTGGAACACAAAATAACTTGTTTTGATGAATATCAGGTTGCGTGAATCCAATATAATGGAATTATGGAATGGAAAAATAATGACTCAAATGAATTTTTATTACAACACCAGAGAGTGTAAGCAAATGACATGTGGCGAAACGGGTAAAAAAAAATATGTAAAAAAAAATGTTGATTAATTTGGGTTGGGACTACATGAATAATTTTGTTACATTAACTGAAACAGCATGGGTGGATTCTGCACTGCTACGACAACAACAATATAAAAAAGAAATTGTACATTGCGAACATTCTGTACATTTAATTTATCAACTGTTTGGGGTACTGGTTCAGACAGAGCCAAAAACTACCAGAAATACTGGTTTCACAACATTGTTTCTGCTTTTGCACGTCCACCTGTTCACTTTTTACGTGAACAAAAGCTAAAGTATACAGTGGAACTGGTAATGAATAAAACTCCAGACATCAGTGTAAACAAACCAAAAAGAAATATGGAAGATTTCTCAAGGAAACATTATTCCATTCAGTACATTGACCTTCAAGGTTTAAGTTTTTCACCCCATTTCCTGTAAGTATCAAATTCATTCTGACAATAAAAGGGGCTCCTGGAAAATGTGTAGCTATTATGTTACTCACAGCAACAAAACAAACCCCACATAATGAGGACAATACCTTAGAGAGGATGTTCCCATAGGTTCCTGATGTGTGTAGTTTTAAGCTATCTATCTATCTATCTATCTATCTATCTATCTATCTATGATACATACAAAATGAGTATCATTAAAGAAGGATACGTTTCAGTTGTGGGTTTGTTCACCTGTACATCACAGGTGCAAAAAAAAAACAAAAAAACAAAAAAAAAAACCTTCCCAGCTCCACCCCTCCTCCCCACCTGTTGCTAGGTATGAGAGACGGGTATTTCAGCAGGGAATACATGAAGCAGTAAGATCATAGCCGAACTCCCCAGAATGGCTACTAAAAAGATTTGGCAAAGGTAAGCAATTTCGTCTTTAATAATTTTTTTTGCTTCATGTTATTTACGTACAACATCTTATTACAATCTTAGTAACTTGATGTGCTTTGAAATTAAACTGAAATCAAATTAGGACAATTAGCTGTGCTAATACTAAACATATCTGCATTGATTAGAAGGTGATCGGATGTAAAAAAATATATTTCACTTTGTTTTGTTCAGTGTCTTTCAATTTGTGATAGAAAAGGGAAACTGAAAGTCAAATGTAAGATGATACAGAGGAAGAAGAAATGTATTATTAAAGCAGGAAACAAAGTAACACGTTGGGACTTGAGACTTCATAACAAAACTGCCAGTCCTGGCAGTCAAATTTAAATTAATTTTACATTTAAAAATTTAAATTATTATTTTTGTAAAATTCAGAAATGTACATAGAACAGCGTATGTTGTAAGTTGCAGGTTTTATCTTTGTAAGAACTGCATTTTAATTGTATCTTAAATATATGCCAAGTTGGCTGGTTTTCCAGGAAATTAAACACCAATGCAAATCACCTGCAAGCATAGACTAGATAACATCTTGATTCAAGTTACCTTGTTAAACACTGTTCCTCTGGAACACCCTTACATAAAAATAGCACTTACAGCATTCGAAATGCCTTGCTGTCAAAATATGTACTGCATTTGATGAAGAACTTGTTTCTCGACCTTAATTCATGTATGTAATGTAATTCATAAATGTCATTTTGATCCACCTATAGCCAAACACTTTCTCCCACTATTTTCGAATATGAAGACTAGCCTAGCGTCAACTAATAGCCTAACATGTTTATCAGATGCCTACTTCAGAATGGTAGCAAAACAGAAGGCCATATGGGAATTTGTAGAATAAAATATACAAAAAAAATGACTCTTATCATCAGGTTTCTTTTATGAAACTTTTAAAATAGATACATTTGCGTTTTCTCGCCTTTCTGTCCTCTAGTCCGCGAATTAGAAATCTATACCGATTTGAATCACACTGATGAATACTTCAATGATTCAACTCACTGAAGCGCATACATCTGATTTACTGAACTGAGCTACAAGCCATCTTTAACTGATGTCTATGTAAAAAATTAAGCACATGTAGGCCTACCTAAAGTTCATGAAACCTAAAAAGATTAGGGTTAAGGATTTGAGTTCGTAATGAATTACAGGCCTATTTAAAAACACATTTCAACTGTGGTTTCACTGTGAAATGCATTTTTGATCCGTTTCTCTTTTTTTCCTCTGCAGTTTGGCTCAGGATAGTGGTCCATTTATGCGTCACATTAAAAAGACATTTATTCTGCTGCTCACATTAGCATTTTTATTGTCTGCTGTTGCTTATGTCTCTGATTTGTCTTTTGAGACAATTGCATTCTCTCAGACCTGGTTGAATAATATCATGGATTGGAGTCATTTTAAGGTAATTAACAGCACTTTGGCTGATCGTACTCAAAAGGATTTATTAGCACCTTTGCCCAATCAACAAATCCAACCAAGAGGTACAACTGTTGAACAAACCACAGACATTCCTATCTATCATCATGTGGCTCATCCACGCAACTATCATTTCATTCTGGACGAACCTGATAAATGCAAGCAGGATCCGTTCCTGGTCTTGATGGTCCCTGTGGCCCCCCATCAGCTGGAGGCTCGTAATGCCATCCGCAGCACATGGGGGAATGAGAGCTCAGTGCAGGGAAAAGCAGTGCTGACTCTGTTCTTGGTGGGTTTGACTGGAGGAGCCGAAGCTCAACAGCACCTGGAGGAAGAGAGTCGACAACACAGAGATTTACTGCAGAGCAACTTTGTGGACTCCTACTTCAATCTGACCATAAAGACCATGGTGATCATGGACTGGTTGGCCACTCGTTGCCCTCAAGCAGCTTATGCTATGAAGGTTGATTCTGACATGTACATAAACCTGAAGAACCTGATGAGCCTCTTATTGTCACCCAACACACCCAGACAGAACTACATCACAGGGTATTTGATGTGGGACCGGCCTGTTATCAGAGACAAAAACTCTAAATGGTACGTGGCAGAGGAATTGTACCCTGAACCAAAATACCCCACGTACCTGCTGGGAATGGGGTATGTTTTCTCCAATGACCTTTCAGAAAAAATAGTTGAGGCTTCCAAGGAAGTAAAAGCCTTTAACATAGAAGACGCATATGTGGGTGCTTGTCTGAAACAGTTGGGTGTTGCACCCTCATCTCCCCCAGACCCTTCACAGTTTAGAGCCTATCTGGGACAATATAATCGAGAAGATTTTCTCAGAGTTATTACGACAATCCTGGGATCCCCACAGCAGCTAATAGACATTTGGAAGGACGTAAAGAGGCCCACATAAAAGTACTGGAGCACAAACAAACAAAAAAAGAGAAACAAATGTCTGTTTTAAAAGAGAAGTCTATTTAAGGCCTCAGTCAATGAACATTTTTTAAATGTCTGAAAGCTGAGACTGGGACTATGACATACGCATGTGGACATGCTGACTCTATTTCGATGGGGCCAGGGGATCGTTTGAGGAGCCACTCACGCAAAATGCACTCCTGCGGAAGAACGTCTTGAGACACGTTTTTAGAGTTTAACTTTTTTAAAGTTTAACACAGCACTCTGCCTGAGGCACAAATGTCAACGAAATCAGCAATGTTTGTTTACATAGAAAAATAAAAGCAGAACAGTGGAACAAAAATGGTTGTGCAATATTACAATAACCTTTCATAGGCTCTATTACAACTTTTAATTTTAAATTTGTAGTTTTATGGATTTAACACAAAAGTATATACTGTATGTATACATACACAAACATAAATTCCATATAATAACAATTTTAACTGAAAGGTTGAACTGTGTTTGCAAAGCAAAGGTATTTTTCCGTAAATCTCTGTTGGGGCAGGTTGTCAACTGGTGTCATATTTACCTTGTAAATTGAAACTGTAAACGAATTAATTTACCATTTCTGTTGGCCAGAACAAGGGTTTGATTTATATGCATTATGTTTTTCATTTTTATTGTTTCATGGGTTATTATGCGTTTAAGAACTGATTTACTCTTTTAGTATCGCTGAAAAAAAAGTTTTCCTAGATCAATGCTCAATGTTCAGTGAAAGCTTTAACTCAAATGTGCCTCACCAGTCTAAAAAGAGTATTTAGTGAAACTGCAGATTTGTAAAAAAATATATATTTAAATGTATAAATGTATGTTTGTTTGTGAACTACGTGTTTTATCTTACAGTCATTACTGTAAAATAAGGTTTTATTTTACTTTTAAGGTTCATATTCTCAAACAATGATCTCAGCCTTGCATTTATTTTTGCTTTGGATAAAACTGCTAGATTTTTATACGGAAATTTTGTGATGCACTATTCTCAATTGTATCCTCTCACACGGGATATTATGCAAATCAGGATACACCCAGGTTTGACTATGCTACAAGTAATATGAATTTGATTATCTTTACCAGGTACACAGCTGGTAATACGAACACATGGTCCTACATTTCTAAGCAATGTAATATTATGAATTATGAATATATATGAGACGTTTCATCTAATCAGTAACTAATCATTTTGGGCAGAAAAACTTCCTGTTTGAGTGGGCGGCAGGCCAACTCATCCCACTGGTTCCCTCCACAAAAAGCTACAGCATTTGTCCATTGGCTTTGGGATTACTCCAGGAAATAAACTCTGTGACCAACAAAAGTTTATGATTCTTAGACATTTTATCAATATAATATTTACAAATCAACACAACATTTATGAATTTTGAAGCCTAAAATATAATCACTAGCCACCTTATTTGCATTCCTGCAGCACCTGAAGACTAGACAGGCTTTCTCAGTAATGATCCTTTTCTGAAGATATATAGCTCCATCAAGTGGTCACACAGTAACACAACATCCTATGGGCCTCTTTTATGACACACCAGCATAAATTAATTACGTGATTTCTATAGGAATGTCCTGCATACATACCAATGAAATGTATGAAATGAAATGAAAATGAAATGTTGATATCCTACAAGGAAACGATCACCGATGGTTAAAGAGTTTTAATTTTTCGTTTTGTCAGAAAAAAAGCAATGTCTTTAGACATTCGTGTTTAAATGCTGCACCCTGCTGGTGACTGTTATGAATTACTGTTCGGTCAGTGAATCAAGACGAGCTGTTTACATAATAAATTAAATTAATGAGCCACAATAGAGCACTGATTACCTGAAGCTTTTAATAGGTTTAACTGAACACAGATAGCACACGTACATCTGCAAGATGTCTTAAAGATTACTTGATCTGGAAAGCATCTGTACAAACACCCAAGTAGCAAATGTTTTCTGGCCCAGGGGCCCGTTCTTCGTACGTCGCTAACTCAGTTAGCTGGATTTGACTGTTGATGATTTGGCATGATCTTGGATAGTTTGGTTCTTTGAAGCAAATCCCGGAGTTGCTGTCAGAGCAACAGGTCCGTAAACTTAAACCTGTTCGGGAGCAGGCTTATTTCATGTAAACAGGATTAGATTGCGTCTTTTTAAGCAAAATTGATATTTAAAATCTGCCCGATACCACTGCTACAAGAGTACCCTACTAATCCAGGGACAATAAGTTAAAATAATAATAATTAAAAAATTTAGCAAAAGAAAATGAAGACCTCCAACCTGTGAAAAAATACAATGAGGAATAATGTTCCATATAATAGTTGTTTTTTTTTAAAGTATAATTAAGAGTGGTAAAATCTAAGAAGTTCAATCCTCCATTTTCAGTTGTGTTCATAGCGCATGAGATGCAGATCAAATTTAGAGTCGTGCATTAATTTGAGTGATGACAGCTATTATGGGAGCGGCTTGATGGAGCGCAGGAGATTATTATGATTTTTTTTGTTATTGAATCACTCAAATTCAACACTTTACAGTAGCCAGGGTTAAAGTATAATTAAGAGTGGTAAAATCTAAGAAGTTCAATCCTCCATTTTCAGTTGTGTTCATAGCGCATGAGATGCAGATCAAAGACATGTATAGACGCCCCATTCGACCGCTCCAGGCACGTAGATGCGGCCGCCATCTTGGAACGGTCAACTTGACGTCATTCACCATTCTGAAGGTTCACACTGAGCCGTTGAGCCGTTCTCGTGAATGACGTAAAGTTGACCATTACAATATGGCGGACGGCTTACGTATAGCTATTTTTATTATTTACAATCTTATTTTAGTTCTGAGGTTTATCTTCATATAAACAATAATTTTTACAACCGAAAAATAAAAACCATGCAAAAAGAAAAAAAAAAACTTTATTAATTACTGTATTAATTGTAATTAATGTGTATTCTACAATTTTTAGATTTATGGAATTCGGGTGCAGTAATTTGTTAAATTCTGCATATTACATTGAAAGGATCAATCAGATCACAGTTGTCATAAACATTTTTTCCACCCAATTTTCACCCATTTTTTCAAATGGATGTGACTTTTCAGAATTTTCATCATAAAATTGCAGTCAATTAGAAAAAAAAAAAACGGCTTACGTATAGCGGCCCATAGAAACAGTAGCTAATGAGGCATCTACCTATATATAAAGATGCAGACAGGGGCGTAATTTCCACCGGGGACTGGGGGGACATGGGGACATGCCCCCCCCCCACCTTCTGTCTACACCTGTTACACCAGCAACATGCCCGTGGACACTGCAGACTAGCGGTTTGCATGTGTACTGCACGTTGACGTGGACAACGACGCAGAAGTATAAATGAAAACTGACGCATAGCCTACGGCGTAAAGGCTACGGCGTAGGTCCGACGCAGAAGTATAAATCAGCTTTTAATGTTAGCCTACGTTGACTGAGCTAACATTAACATACAGCAGAAATGCCTCAGGGGGTACTCCACTCTAAAAAGTCTGGGAACCACTGATGTAGAACATTCTGTCCTGTGCAACAAGTGATTAATTTGATATTTTCAGGTACAGCGGTTAGTTTGAAATAAAAGTTTAACAGTGGAAATTGAGTCTCACATTATTTAAACATTAATGGTGAACATTTTCGACTTTATAAAACGATTCTCTCAAGTTTTGGCGATCGGCCGTTATTAAACAATAAAGAAAGTAAGACATCTTTTTCTTATACATAGTTTAGTAGCCTACTATTCTTTTTGGCAGAATTTATCATTAATCAACTTAATTATTTCCTGGATTTTGTATCACCATAGTCCCTAAATGTATGTACATGCAGGAAATGGGATTCAAATCGAAACATTTTCCCCCATTTTGTGTCCCCCCCACTTCTCAAACCAAAGTTACACCCTTGGATGCAGATAACATGATCTTGACCCTTAAGAAACTTTAATTAATGCTGTCACGTAACAAATCTGTTCAAATATAAAATTAAAAGAATTGCTAATTACTACATTGAAATAAAAATGTAAAGCCTGTACACATATTAGAAATCGTGAATATAAATAATTGGGAATCATGTAAAAAATTAAAATAAAATAAAATAAAAACCGTGCACATTTCATTTATCTATTATAAGATTTATGTAGTTTTGTTCGCTTGGCTGTTTCCTTATAAAAGTCCAGAAATTTGTCAAGATTTTCGTCAGGTGTCTTTTTTAATTATAAGACGTCTTTACGTTGCTGTCTTGCCGCCAGCCACTCGCTGCATTGCTGATCGTGGTTTCGAGTATCGATACATAGTCCCTTTTAAACCAACCCATGAACACGCAATTATCTCAGATAACTCAATCCAGCCAGACTAATCATCAACAACAGCTGCGTTCGAAGAACCGAATTATCCAGATCCTGATTAGCGCGATGATATCATCTTGGATGTGACATTTCATCTCGGATGTAATAAGCGATGTACGAAGAACGGGCCCCAGAACTGGGCCAAAACAGGTTTTATTATGGGTACCAATTCTCAGCCTTAAGTAAACCAGAATCCTCAAATCTGAGCCACACCTGAGCCTTATATAGCCCAGACCCAATACAGAATCTTAATATTTGATATTATTATATTGTGTATTAGCTACTATAATCGCCAGTATTCATTTTGTGAAATGTTTTGGTAATGTACACACAAACTATGCCAATAAAGTACATTAAACTGAATAGAAAATCAGCCTTAAAATCCACAAATCATGTAATTGTGCAATAAAAACGTATTGCATTGAAAATGTTTTATTTTTATAAAGAACAAATCAACCAATAAAGAGTGAGTGTATAAAGCATACAGTCTATAAGAGAAACGTAACAGACACATGTAATCACAAGAATTTATTGCAGAAATGTCAAAGAGCAGTAGCACAGTAGGCCCGTGGCATAGGCGACATAGGCAGGTGCCTAGGGCGCAAAATGACTGGGGGGCGCCGCACAAAAGTTTTTTTCTCGAAAGAACGCCCTCTTGTGACCGTCGTGCGCTCCTACACCCATATATGAGTGAGTGAGTGAGTGAGTGAAGTGACATGTGGCTAAGTATGGTGACCCATACTCGGAATTAGTGCTCTGCATTTATCCCATCCAAAGTGCACACACACACCGTGAACACACACCCGGAGCAGTGGGCAGCCATTTATGCTGCGGCGCCCGGGGAGCTTGCTCAAGGGCACCTCATTCGTGGTATTGAAGGTGGGAGAGAGTGCTGTACATTCACTCCCCCCACCTACAGCAGGGAACACACACACACCATTAACACACACCCGGAGCAGTGGGCAGCCATTTATGCTGCGGCGCCCGGGGAGCTTGCTCAAGGGCACCTCATTCGTGGTATTGAAGGTGGGAGAGAGTGCTGTACATTCACTCCCCCCACCTACAATCCCTGCTGGTACGAGACTCGAACCCGCAACCTTTGGGTTACGAGTCCGACTCTCTAACCATTAGGCCATGACTTCCCCCAGTATATTAAGCATATACTGACAATAAAATTTTTAGAACTGATCGGTCATCGAACTTATTAAAATAATGTTAGAATAAAATAAAATTGACGTCAACGAAAAATCATACGATTTGACAACATGTCATGTTGGACTAATTTAAACACTTTCTGCGTCATGACGTAATTATAATACATCATCATAACTCATTAATTAGCTATGCATGGCGCACGCATAGTTTTGCCATTTATGTGCTCTGAAAGGATCATTTAAAAAAATGAGTGAAAAAAGAAAATTTTCAGGGGCACAAGGCAGGAAGCGATGCAAAGAAGAGGAGCCGAAAAAAGAGCAATAGCCTATAGAGGTAAGAATCACAAGTTAAAGGGGTCATATGATGCTGCTAAAAAGAACATTATTTTGTGTATTTGGTGTAATGAAATGTGTTTATGCGGTTTAAGGTAAAAAAAAATATTTTCCACATACTGTACATTGTTTCTCCTCTATGCCTCTGGGGGGGCAGAAATCTAAAATCTAAATCTAAAACAGAGCCTGGGGCCAAATGACGATAAATTGCAGTCGCAGTCCTCTCTCTCTCTCTCTCTCTCTCTCTCTTTATGTAAGGATTCTAAGATTATTTGTACTGAGAATAATAATATAAAATATAATAAAATTATAATTAAGTGCAGTTTAATGCAGTTGACTGATTTACTGATTTGCTTAATTTTCAAATGATAATGTTTCATTCTGTTTTGACTTGCCATTTCAATACTACACTTCATTAAAATTTATGTGATTATTTAACCATTATCATGCAATATTTTATTTATCTTGTTTACCATGGGTCTCATAATATGCTGTCAGGTCACAAGCCTGATTTGGGTCACATGATCACTGGACTGATCTGGGCCACACTCCTCCCACCACTACGTTTACATGCACAATTTTTGGTTCAATCGGACTGAATTTATTCCGATTGATGAATCTGAATGTAGTGTTTACATGAACGCTAAATAAAGTGATTGGGTTGATGTGCACGTTTATACGTCACAAGCTTCAAATCGGAATAGATTTTTTTTTTTACATGTGCACACTTCACAAATATGGAGTTCCTCACTGTTTGCATATAAAAAACACTCTCCTATACGGTTTCTTTATTTGTTTTTAACAGCAGAATTAATATTTATCCATTTATGGATAAATATACATAAGCTACACATATAGCTTATATGTTTGCTTATATGTTTATATGCTTATATTTACTATATATAGCACTTTCTATTCTATTTTAATTCTACTTTATCTATTTATCTTCCTTTTTTATTTAAAAAAACACTAACTTTCTATTTTTTCTATTCTAACTACTTGTTTTTCTTTATGTGTGTGTGTGTATAATCTATAGGTGCTCCAAATGGTGCTCCAAATGGCCAGTCCGCCACTGCGTACAATCATTTAGCAGGATCACACACACATACAGAATGCTGTATTGATAATCAGACGTATTGCTCTCGCATGCTCTGAAGGAGTGTGAACAAACACATCTGTTCTCTGATGCCTCTGTAAAGTCGTGCTGCTGCCATACAAACACACACACCTGCTACAAACCTTTTACTGAGAAACTCAAATCAGTGCTGTAAGAAAGAGAGTTCATATTATATAATACACAACATAGTACTCAATAATATAATATATACAGTAAGTTTCAATAGCAAACTACAATATAGCTACAAAGTTACCAAAATATTAAAGCATAAATAATTAAGTTGTAATATAAGCATTTAACCAAGCACATTTTACCAATTCCAGACCACATCCATTTGAATAATTATTATTTATAATCATTTATATGTGAGATATTCTGTTGGATCTGGTGTTACAACAGAGTACAGCAGCAGGGAAACTCTCCAGAGATGTAACAGGCTGTGTTTAGATGCGTGGGAAAGTGTGTGCGTGTGTTTGTGCAGATAAGGCACTGAGTAGTATGTGAATGTGTTAGATCCGTTTGCTGTGTTTTAGCAAGGTGGTTCTATCATTACACATGCTCTTCTATTAATACAGCAGAGGGAGACGTTTACAGTCAAGATAGTTACACGCTAGACTAAACTGAACCCAGACAGACGGGCAAACAGAGAGAGGGAGACGGGTTCAAAAACAGAATAAAAGAATGAAAACAAGAATCAGGAGATTAAACATCAAGCATGGGTTGGATTAATGCCTTTTTTTGTTCAAATAGGTGTATTCTATTTATTTATTAATTTGTTTTGTCGGTTGGTTGGTTTGGCCATATTAGAAATCATTCTAATATGCTGATATGCTAATATATAATATATCTAACATGCTAATTTATTTTATGCTTTATTAAAAACACATTTATTATAAAATAGCATGTATTCAAATGTTATCTAATGTATGTTATCAAAACCTTTTTACAATGTAGTACAACATGGAAGTGTGTGATAAAGAAAGCATTATCACTCAGAGAAAGTGTGTGTGTGTGTGTGTGTGTGTGTGTGTGTGTGTGTGTGTACCTCAGCATTCTGGCTGCCTGACCTTCTCTATCTGATAAGTGAGTAAAGTAAACATAAAGAGGAAGAAGGGTAAAACAATCGTGGGGGAGGAATGAAAGCTAATAATGAGAATTAAAGGAGAGAAGGCAAAAAAATCTGGTTGAATGAGATAGGTATAAAACAGAGAGAGAGAGGAAGTGTGTGAGGCTGTAAGCTGATTTGTTGGTTTCTAACAGGCAGTATTTGGCCAAGGACCAGATGCTGTTTAACAGGCTCCCCTGAGGAACATGAACCAGTACACACAAGCACACACAAACAGAGCTGCACGCTGCAGGCCAGATTCCATTCAGCAATTTCACTTTTTCCATGAGAAAAAACTATTTAGCACCAAACAAAAGCTGGTGGTGTGAAATGACTTTAAGAGTAACTTACACTGTAGAAATACAGTGAGTCCAGAAAACTCACAAACATTTCAAACTAGCATTAGCAACAGCTGTTTGCTGCAGTGGCTAGAATATGAATAAGAACCAAACAGCACCAAAAAAGGAGCCCGGTTCTACTGGGTGCTAAGCACCCTCAAACGAAATGGACATATCTGTTGATTTTTTTAATCAGAGGCATTTTAAATGGGTCATATGATGCGATTTCATGTTTTCCTTTCTCTTTGGAGTGCTACAAACTGTTCATGAATAGATAAGATCCCTAAAGTTGCAAAGACTAAAGTCTCAAACCCAAAGAGATATTCTTTATAAAAGTTAAGACTCGTCCACTCCCCCCTAAAACACATCATTCAAACATGCCCCCACATGTCTACGACACGATGTGGGAAGATTTGCATAACACTGCCCAAATGTTCACGCAGAGAAAGAAGGCGTAACTTTATTGTTGCTGCCACTAGCTGCCGCCGCCATGTTGTGAAGACGCTGTGTGTTTCGTTGTGAAAGCAAAACTACTTTGTTTGGTCTTCCAAAAGAGGACACGGCTAGAAATCAGTGGTTAAGTTGTATTTACAACACTGTTCCAGAACAGTTCAAACCAAATATTCAGATGTGTGCAGCACATTTTATGGAGGACTGTTTCCTGATCCTGGGAGAGTAGACTACAATGCCGGCTGTTCTGACTCACAGCCTGTAAGTATGTTTCACATTTCATTACACCAAATACACAAAATAATGTTCTTTTTAGCAACATCATATGACCCCTTTAAATTAGAATCCACTCACCGCTCAAATCGCCTGA